AGAGTTTGGCTCTTCTCACCCAGACTGGAGTGCAATGGCGCGATATCGGCTCACCACAACCTCTGCCTCCTGGGTTCAAGCAATTCTCCTGCCTCAGCCTCCCGAGTAACTAGGACTACAGGCATGCACCACCATGCCCAGCTAATCTTTGTATTTTTAGTAGAGATGGGGGTTTCACCATGTTGACCAGGATGGTCTCAATCTCTTGACCTCGTGATCCACCTGCCTCGGCTTCCCAAAGTGCTGAGATTATAGGTGTTAGCCACCGCGCCTGTCCTCACAAAGGTATTTATTTCTTTCCATCTCAGTCTCTTTGGAACTCCTTCAGCATTATTAAGTTTTACGGAAGGAAACAATGTTGTAAGTTTGTTTCCATTGGCTCTGTCCTTCACTTCCAACAGGGAGCACAGATGACTAGTTATCCCAAAAAGGGCCATCAAGAGAGAAATTAAGCCATACCTCAATAATAAAAATACTCTATTTTTGGCTGGGTGTGGTGGCTCATGCCTGTAATCCCAGTACTTTGGGAGGCCAAGGCAGGCGGATCACCTGAGGTCAGGAGTTTGAGACTAGCCTGGCCAACATGGTGAAATCCTCTCTACTAAAAATACAAAAAAAAGATTGGCCAGGTGTGGCGGTGTATGCCTATAGTCCCAGCTACTTAGGAGGCTGAGGCACGAGAATCACTTGAACCCGGGAGTTGGAGGTTGTAGGGAGCCGAGATGCACCACTGCACTCTAGCCTGAGGAGCAGAGTGAGACTTAGTCTCAAAAAATATATAAATATTTTTTTCTTTATCGCTTCCCCCATTCTCAATGTATTCTTGCTGTCAGATGGCCTCCACTGAATCAAACATTTAAAAAATGCTCTACTGTTTCTCCCAATGCATTAGAATGCCATCACGTTTCTGAGCATAGATCATGTCTGCTTCATTCCAGGTGTTTCACATCTGGTGCTAATCCTGCAGTGACCACCATAATAAAGCAGAAGGTGCCTTTGCCTGGCTTTCATCCTAACCATTCTCCAAAGGGCTCAATGAAAACTTGGACTTGGAATGTTAAAGCTGTTTAGTTTTTATGGAGAAGGTTTAAATGAGGAGGCAGTTTGAAGAACAGCGATGAAAATCACAGCTTAGGACGTTAAATACCACGACAGGGCTTCATTTCCCTGGAATCATAGAAATTGCCATCCATTTTTATTTTGTGTTACATGGAAAATATTAGCCTTCATTGGTAACACTTTCAAGCAAAAAAAAAGTATGTAGAGATATGATTTTATCTTTTGTTTCTAAGTTTAAAAAAAGAATAGCTATATTTTGTTTCTAAGTCTAAAAACAGAATAGCTAAAGTGATTTGTACTGAAAAACCGATGATCACTTGGAGAACACCCACAATTCTTGACACAATTGTCTTTTCCTATGGTCATTCACTCTAGACAACAAAATGCAGCAAAAAGCACATTCTAACAGCTGTAATAGAGTCAGATACCTCCATTTACAGCAAGTCCACAACCATGGCAAATAACAGTGAATTCCAAGCCAGCCATAAAAATCAGAGATAAGCCCCTAGAGTTTAACAAGAATCAGAGGCAGTGGTATTTTTATTTCTCTCCATCCTTTTATTTCTAGAATAATACACGTTGAAGAAAGAATTAAAGGAAGCAAGAAAACAACAAGAGTGGGACGTTGTAAAAAATATATATGTATGTGTGAATATATAATTTATATTTATCTAGTTGTGGCTTTTCCAGATTATCTTGCTAGAGATTTATCTACCTTCCAAATAAGCCTTGAAGTGCTAAATTATAGTTTTAGATAGGTTCCCCGCCCCCAAATTTACCAAACTCCTAAAGTATTATTCTTTTAATCTGACTAAAAATAGGCCAGGCACAGAGTCTCAGGCCTATAATCTCAGCATTTCAGAAGGCCAAAACAGGAGAACTGGTGGCACCAAGAGTTCTGGACCAGACTGGGCAACATAGTGACACATTGTCTCTGCAAAAAGTAAAAAATTAGCCAGGCATAGTGGTGGACAGCTACTTGGGAGGCTGAGGTTGGGGGATCACTTGAGCCCAAGAAGTAGAGGCTACAGTGAGCTGTGATTGCACCACTGCACTCTAGCCTGGGCCACAGAGTGAAGAGTGAGACCGTCTCCAAAAAAAAGAGACTAAACTGTAAGGGTTATTGCCGAGTTTAAAATGAGGAAACTGAAACCAGCATAAGAAGATTAAATGCCAATTTCTTTAACTCCCAGGTGAGGTTACATGGTCCTGGGGGAAGGGGTCAGGGAAGTCGCACCAACTTCCTGGGGCATGGGATTTTTATGGCTAGGAGGAATGAGCAACAGCTGGGTGCTCTGATTGACTCCAGGGGAACGGGATTGGCCATTAGTTGGCGGGTTGTTGGGCGGGTTTTCCGGTGGGAGACCTGGCCAGGAGCCTTGCATCAGCTGGAACCTTCCAGGGGAGCCATGCAGCAGAGCTAGTGCAGAGCCTGGTGCCAGGTGCAGAGGTGGGTGTGTCCAACCTCCCAGCAAGGCAGCCGGCCTTACATAAACTAAAACCTTTTAAATGATCTTCATTAATTTTAATTATTTTCATGTTACTGTATGATTAATGTGTCATTTTTTTTTTTTTTTTTTTTTTTTACTTTTTGGAGAAAGGGTCTCACTCTGTTGCTCAGGCTGAAGTGCAGCGGTATGATCACGGCCAATTGCAGCCTCAACCTGCTGAACTCAAGTGATCCTCCCACCTCAGCCTCCCAAGTAGCTGGGACCACAGGCATACACCACCACACTTTGCTAATTTTTTATTTTTTGTAGATACAGTTTTGTTATGTTACCCAGGCTGGTCTCAAACTCCTGGCCTCAAGAGATCCTCCAGCCTCAGCCTCCCAAAGTGCTGGGATTACAGGAGTAAGCCACTGTGCTTAGGCTACCATATACCTTTAACTCTTAAGTTTGATGATTTCTAAATCTGTTTTCATGCCAAGCTCTCTGGGGAACATATAGCTGCCACACAACATAAGCAAATGTGGCAGCCATATATGGCACAATAGAGGTGATATGGCTGAAGAAGAGGATTCAGGAAAACAAGGGTTACATTAACAGAATGATGATTGAATGGGTAGATGTAAGGCAATTTCAAACAGCTTGCCAAAGGAAAGACTAATTTTTCCATTTTCTTGTACAGTATCTAATTTCTGGCTCCTCATTTCCTCAGTCATCTGATAATTATGAAATTCTAAATAAAGTGTCATCTTTCTTGCAATAAGTCAATGAGCAGAAAGCTCCCATCAACAGTGCAGATATTTCCTAAAGCTCCCGCTGATTATTTCCTGAATGTCTACCCCACAACCATACAGAAAGTTCTTTGGGAACAAGAATTTGAGAACAAGAAACCAACTCCACCCCATGACAAATTCAGCTTTTGTGTGTGTTCATGCATGTGTGTGCATGTGTGTATGTATTTAAAAAGAGGATTAAGAAGTATAAAAATATGCAACTGACAGTAATGAGTTACCACAAATTTGCCTTTTATTGCCAACTTAAGATTGAAATACAGTCCTTTCTCAGTGCTGTGGTACAAATGTGGGAAAGAATTCCTCCTCATTGTGCATTTGTAACTACAGCTGCAGTAAAAATGTTTTTGCATATCTTACCAGAGATTTATGCCAACAGAATCACCACATACACCATGATAATTAGGGCATTCCTCCCCCAATTTAAAATAATTCCACCTTTATCTGCATGCCACCCTTACAGTAATAATAAAATACAAAGGTACAAAGGCAAACTTGTGAAAATAAAAAATTCTATAGGTTACTAAGTCTCCAGGTACATAACTAAGCCTAAACTTATCTATTAATAAAGTAACATTACAGAGAAGTAATGTTACTTTATTACTTATTTTATTTTTAAACACTCTTTCAACCTACCAAAAATTATGTATATTCCAACTTTTGAAAAAACTCCCATCTTCTGCCTTGTTTGTTTCAATTATTCAGGGCAACCCATGCTGATAATTACACAGTCCCCAGTTGCTGAGTAAAAGTGATGCTTAATTAGCCAGCAGGAAAGATCGATTAAGATCCAGCAGGGCATCTCATGAGGTTCTCTCACATTCCTGAATGGAATAGATTCTGGCTGTGCCCTTCTGAAGGATAAAATTCTCTGCTTCTATGGAGTTTCAACAAGGTTTTTAGAGTAGATACTAAGAACGGTCAGCCACACAAATTAAATCCCAACCATAACCCTGCAGATGCTATTCCTTTTCTAAGAATTCTCAGTTTAAACTTTCTGAATCACATTGCCACCAGGTTTGAAAAGATTAAAGGAACACTCACTTATCCCTTGCTGTCATTCAGTTACCCGTTTCAAGCAATAGGTGGTCAGGAAATATATTATAAAGGGAAATTTTTATTTCTTCTTCCCCTAAGCAAGTGTTTGTATCTGTCAGACGCTCATATTCTAAAATGCACAAATTAGGCCAGGGCCTCTTATTTTAAAAAAAAGAACATAATATTTCAACCCAGTCCAGGAATAAAACATCCCAATATGGTCAAAGAATCACCTTGATGAGTCTCATTTAAGTTTTCTATGGGGGAAGAAGATGTGGAAGTAAAATAGTACCAAAAATCATAATGAACATTATCTCATACGCCTAACACCTTTTAGTTAATAATTTGGACAAGCATAAATGTTTAGCTTTCATCTTTTTTTTAGTTAAATGCAAAAGTGGTCAATAAAGGCTAACATAAAAATTTAAAGCTAAAAGCAGAATAATTACCTCAAGATACATACATAATTATCAAAACATTTTTATTTTGGTAAACTACACTAATTATGCTTGCCTGCCTCCAATTCAATTCAGCAAATATTTATTAAGTTTCTACCAACTATAAAGAACTATGATAGGTATGTCTTACTTAGTGACTTTATTTTACTGGTTATAAATTGTTTTAAAGCTTATGAAGAAGATTAATGGAACCAGTTTATACAAACCTGGCTTTGATTTGCTGAAAGCCCCGTAGAATATGGTCTCTGTGATCCCTTGCAACAGCGCTGAGGTTCTCATTTCGCAAGCCTTCTGCCAGGAACTCTTCAGCATCTAAAAGAAAAGAAAAGTTGATAAAACAGAAAAGATGTACTAAGGAGAAAGGAAAATCAGAAGGATTAAGAAATGGGTATTGTTTTCTTTTTAAAAATATTATAGTTGTAGCATAATGTGAATGTGCCTAATGCCACAGAACTGTATATAGTTGAGATGGCAAAATTGATATTATGTATATTTTACCATAATAAATAATAATTAAAATTTTATATATACCTGTAGATGAAATGTTCTAATAATCCAAGACCTTGCTATGAACTTAGAATACTACCACATATATTAACCACAAGAAATAACTATTTTCTAAATCATTTTAAATAAACATTTATATATTAATTATCACTGATGGCAGAGGATAAACTATTTTTTTTTTTTTTTTGGAGATGGTGTCTCACTCTGTCGCCCAAACACTGGGGTGCAGTGGCATGATCTTGGCTCACTGCAACCTCTACCTCCCTGGTTCAAGCAATTCTTCTGCTGCAGCCTCCTGAGTGGCTGGGACTACAGGTGCACACTGCCACGTCTGGCTATTTTTTTGTATTTTAGTAGAGACAGGGTTTCACCATGTTGCCCAGCTGGTTTCAAACTTGTGAGCTCAGGCAATCCACCCGCCTCAGCCTCCCAAAGTGCTGGGATTACAGGCATGAGCCACCGTACCTGGCCTGGACTGTCAGTTTCATAGACATGTAAATATTATAAGTCACAGAAGGTCATAGGCCAATAGAAGCTAGCAAGAAATATCAATAAATAGACCCAAAATAAAAAATAGAGCTGAATTGCAAAAATCAACAACAAAAGGGCAAGCATTCAAAGAGGAAACCTTAACAGATATATAATCAATGAAAATTATAACATAACTAAGTGAAGGAACCCACATGGGAAAGAAAAATGTCTTCAAGAGATGGGAACTGCAATTAATGTGAACATATATTATAAAATAGAGACATGAGTTGGGCATGGTGGCTCACACCTGTAATCCCAGCACTTTGGGAGGCTGAAGCAGGCAGATCACCTGAGGTTAGGAGTTTGAGACCAGCCTGACCAACATGGAGAAATCCCGTCTCTACCAAAAGTACAAAATACAAAATTAGGCACATGCCTGTAATCCCAGCTACCTGGGAGGCTGAGGCAGGAGAATCGCTTGAACCCAGGAGGTGGAGGTTGCGGTGAGCCAAGATAGCGCCCTTGCACTCCAGCCTGGGCAACAAGAGCGAAAAACTCCACCTAAAGAAAAAAAAAAGCGGGGGGGGGGGGGGGGAACATGATGGAAATACGTAATATGGAACAAACCACGTTACGTTGAAGGAAGAAACTGGGGGACCTACAAATTTTCAAAGATACATTGTTAATCAGATACATTCAAACAATACATTGTTAATGATTACGATTGCCAAAAATACTAGCTACACATTTTATTCTGTGCAAAAGGTTTGTCATCCCCCAAAAGCATATAAATCATATAGTTAAAATTTTCCACCTCCAAAAATTGTGCCTGTAATATGAAACTGTATCATATATATCAGGGGTCCCAACCCCAGGCCACAGTTCCGGAACCTTATTTCTTCAGTGATCTGATAATTATGAAATTCTAAATAAAGGGCCACATGGTGGGAGGTGAGCAGCAGGTGAGCAAGTGAAGCTTCATCTGTATTTACAGCTGCTCTCCATCACTTGCATTATCACCTGAGTTCTACCTCCCGTTAGATCGGTGGCAGCATTAGATTCTTATAGGAGTGCAAACCCTATTGTGAACTGTACATGTAAGGGATCTAGGCTGTGTGCTCCTTATGAGAATCTAATGCCTGACGATCTGTCACTGTCTCCTGTCACTCCCAAATGGAACCATCTAGCTGTAGGAAAACAAGCTCAAGGCTCCCACTGATTCTACATTATGGTAAGATGTATAATTTTTTCATTATCTATTACAATGTAATAATAATAGAAATAAAGTACCTAATAAATGTAATGCTCTTTAGTCATTCCAAAATCATTCTCTCACTCCCAGTCCATGGAAAAATTGTCTTCCAGGAAACCAGTCCCTGGTGCCAAAAAGGCTGGGGACCCCCGATACATACTATCAAAATAAATCATATATGCAATAGATGCAATGCAGAGCTTGGATGTTGATGGTGGTCCTTTGTGAAATATTCAATTTCCAGGACTTTGTATCACATCAAAAGATACATTATATTTAAAAATTTGTTTTATATTCATATCATTTAACAACATCAAAAAAAAATCCTAAATAGCCATCACTGGGACTTTTGATGAGACATATATGATTTTGCATATATGATTTAATGAGTTCCACTAGAGTCCTCTGAATGCTAAAGAATGAGGAAATGGGAAACTGAATTAAAAGGCAAAAATAAATGGCATCTAAGACCCAATTTATGTAATATAACAGTAGAATGAAGGAAAATAACCACATGATCATCTCACTAGACACAGAAAACGCATTAACAAAATTCAACAGCTCTTCGAGATAAAAATTCTCAACAAACTGGGAATAGAAGGAAGCTTCCTTAAACTAATAAAAAGTATCGACACAAACCCACAGCTAACATTGTACTTAATGATTAAAGACTGGCCAGGCATGGTGGTTCATGCCTATAATCCTAACCTTTTGGGAGACCGAGGCAAGAGGGTCACTTAAGGCCAGGAGTTTTGAGACAAGCTTAGGTGACATGGAGAGATCCCATCTCTACAAAAAAAAATTTTTTTTTAAATTTGGCTGGGCATAGTCGTGCATGCCTGTAGTCTTAGCTACTCAAGTGGCGCAAGTGGGAGGATCACTTGAGCCTGGAAGTTTGAGGCTGCAGTGAGCCATCACTGTGCCACTCTAGCCTGGGTGATAGAGGAAGAGCCTGTAATCCCAGCACTTTGGGAGGCAGAGGTGGGTGGATCACCTGAGGTCAGGAGTTTGAGACCTGCCTGGTCAACATGGTGAAACCCCCTCTCTACTAAAAACACAAAAATTAGCCGAGTGTGGTGGTGGGCACCTGTAATCCCAGCTACTTAGGAGGCTGAGGCAGAAGTTGCTTGAACCCGGGAGGTAGAGGTTGCAGTGAGCCAAGGTCATGCCATGGTATTCCAGTCTGGGTGACAGAGCAAGACTATGTCTAAAAACAAAAACAAACAAACAAACAAAAAAAAAAAGAAAAAAAAGAAAAGAAAAGAAAAAGAAAGACAAATTTGGAGGACTCACACTTTCTGATTTCAAAACCTACTACAAAACTACAACAATTAAGAAAATATGGTACTGGCATAAGGATAGACATAAACTTCAAAAGAACAGAATTGGGAATCCAAAAGTAAACCCTCACACTTACGGTCAATTTTTGGCAAGAGGGCCAAGACAATTCAATTGTTGACAAAACTGTTTTTTCAACAACTGGTGCTGAGACAACTGAGTATACACATGCAAAAGAATGAAGTTGGATTCCTAACTCACACCATATACAAAAATTAAGTAAAAATGGATCAAAGATCTAGATATAAGAACTAAAGCTATGAAACTCTTAGAAAAAGACAGGTGTAAATCTTTGTGTCTTTGGATTAGGTATGGTTTCTTAAATATGACACCAAAAAAAAAAAAAAAAAAAAAAAAAAAAAAGCAACCAAAGGAAAAAAATAGACAAACAGGGAATCATCAGAATTAAAAGCTACTGTGCTTCAAAGAAGGCCACCAAGAAAGCGAAAGGACAACCCACAGAATGAGAGGAAGTTTTTGCAAATCATATAGCTGATGAAACACTGGTATGTAGAATATATTAAAACTCTTATATTTCAATAATAATAAGACAAATAACCCAATTGAAAAATGAGAAAAGGAACTGAATAGAAATGCCTCTAAAGAAGATATACAAATGACAAATAAACACATTAAAAGATGTTCAATATCAGTAGCCATCAGGGAAATGCAAATCAAAACCATGAAATACCACTTCACACTCACTAGAATAGTTACAGGCAAAAAGAACGACAATTAGTGTTGTTGAAAATGTAGAAAAATTGGAAACCTTATATACTGCTGATAAGAATGTAAAACAGTGCAGCCACTTACAAAAATAATCTGGTAGTTCCTCAAAAGGCTAAACAGAATTATAGGATCCAGCAATTCTATTACTAGGAATATACCCAAGAGAAATAAAAATGGGTGCTCACACAAAAACTTGTACACAAATGTTCATAGCAGCATTATTCTTTTTTTTTTTTTTTTGAGACAGAGTCTCGCTCTATTGCCCAGGTTGGAGTGCACTGGTGCAATCTCTACTCTCTGCAACCTCTGCCTCCTGAGTTCAAGTGATTCCATGCTTCAGCCTGCAGAGTAGCTGGGACTACAGCTGCATGCTACCATGCTGGGTTAATGTTTGTATTTTTAATAGAGACCGAGTTTCACCACATTGCCCAGGCTGGTCTCGAACTCCTAGACTCAAGCAAGCTGCCTGCCTCAACCTCCCAAATTGCTGGATTACAGGCAGGACCCACCATGCCTGGCATAGTAGCATTATTCTTGATAGCCAAAAAGTGGAAATAGCCCAAATGTTCATTAACTGATGAATGGATAAATAAAATGTAGCATACAATGGAATATTATTCAGCAATAAAAGGAAATGAAATGCTGATACCTGCTACAACATGAATGAATCTTTAAAATCATTATGCTAAGTGAAAGAAGCCAGTCACAAAGGACCACATATCGTTATGATTCCATTTACACGAAATATATAGAATAGGCAGATCTACTGAGACAGAAAGTAAACAAAGAAAGAAAGTCAGGAAGAGGGATTGAAGAGTGAAGGCTAAGAGGTTCAGGTTTTCTTTTTGGGTGATGAAAATCTTCTAAAATTTATTGTGGTAATAGTTACACAATTCTGTGAACATACTAGAAGCCACTGAGTTGTATACTTTAAATGTGTGAGTTGTATAGTATGTGAATTATATCTCAATGAATCTGTTTAAAAATATAAATAAACACCTGGAATCTCAGCACT